CTGCAACACAGAATTGGGGAATAAATGCAAAACCAACTAAAAGAATGACAAAAGATGGGATACTCCTTGTGATCAACTATAGCTCAAATTAGTCCAACATTGAGCAACACTGATAATGGAAAAGCAGAATTCTCTCGCTGACTTTAGTCCAACATTGAGCAACACTGATAATGGAAAAGCAGAATTCTCTCGCCGAGCTGCAGGAAGATGCTTGCTTAACAACATTTATCTAATATGAGTTATTTCTTATCATGAAGTAACAATCCATACCAAAACAAACAAACAAAATTAACCCATACCAAAACAAATTAATGCTACCATTACAGTGAAAAAGGGATAACATTATTCCATTTTATCTGCTCAAACTACGGAATGAGTAATTACATAAAAATTCAGTATCATGCCATTACTGATGCTATAGTACTTGTTCTTTTCTGTCCTGGATTCTCCTAATAAAATAATTATTTTGTGATTTTTGTTTAGAGCATTTTGCCTTTAAAAAAAAAGAGGGAGAAACTCCTTGTATGTGCGTATATATGATAACTCTGTTCTGGGCTGTTCAGTCACAAGGAGATAATTGCTTCTCAGGTGCAAGTAAAAGTAACTGGAAAAAATTGCTTGTTCCTGCAAAGGGGGATGTAAGAAATGGAGCTAGAAACCAGATGCATGCTTTGAGTAAACCAAAACTGCATTTACATCAACAAATATTTTATATTCAACAAAAGCCATAAAACAAAAAAGTACAGTTTATTGCTGCTGAACTGCAATCTATAAATCGGCGTAGAGTGAAAATTAAGGCTACACACAAGTCCAGGTTATATGCATGAAGAAACATAAGCAAAGAGAAAAGGGCAACAAATTTTACAGCAGCTGGAAATGTTAGATTTAATTATTGGAGGGAAATCATGCAGAGAAGTTAGCTGCCTAATGTGATTTACTACAAAGAAAAAAAGCCAGACAAGTATTCCAGTTAAATTGACAAACTGTCAATAATCAGAACATGGATTTGTAATTTGTGACAGATGCATGCTTTCTGTGAAGTCATAACAAAAAAGAAAAAGGAAAAGAAAAGAACAAAACTTGCTAAATGTCTTTAGCAAACTACTAAATTTCAGAGAGGAGCCATTTGTATAACCAAAACTGACTAGCCAATCACAAGTCATCAACATATTAATGAAGCTGGATGATTACAGTACTCAATCTATTTTGCTATTGTTTATCTTGTCCTGAGCATCCCTTCGTTCTAAATATTTTTCTGGCTAAATTTATTCACTCTGATTAAAATGCATAAACTTGTTTACAAAATAATCCATGTATTCATAAGAAGTTCCAAAAGGGAAATTATTCTGTTGTGGTATGAACAGACTCCAGATATGTCTGCACTGTGTGTAACACTACAGATGCTAAAATTCTGAGCAATAATTAACAATGGCCAGGACCCTATTGTTTAGTTTTGCCTGCACAAGTATAAACAAGTGAATTGTAACAATACATTGCTGTTAGTTAACAGGTTGCATTTGTATCATACACCAGACTATTTCTAAGCACTTTTGACAGAACTGGTTCTATCAATGTAACAAGGAGGAAAGATCTCTTTTCTCTCACCCTAGTCTTAACTGCTATTAAGTTGTCAAAAGACGTGACAGCATTGTAGCAAACTGTTATGTACTTTAGGTACTCATTGTTTTAAGGAATGAAATGTACCTTCAAAGACATATCTGGTTTTTAAGATGTTTCTCCAATTATGAGCAGATTTGCTTTGAAAACAACAAATTTATGTACCTGGTGATATAATTCTGCACTTCTGTTCCATTTTGGTTTGTAGCTGAATCTTCTTTGTTCACGACAGATTCAACCTAGCAAAATAGATCTCTCCCTACTTCTTCCTTCAGACATTTCTCCTTTGGTGCAGGAAATACAATTCTATTCTTCCCAAAACTAAGGTGGGCTTGGAGTTCAAAGAAACATCTTTCAGTTCACAGAGAAACTATGGCTGCCTTCTCCAGTTTTCATGTCTGTTCTATAACCTAGTTCCTGTGTAAGTTTAAGATAATGTGAATTAAACCCCTGAGAAATCACACCGAGATATAACCTCAAGACAGCATCAAATGAAGAAGTGTCAGCTCACACCTGTCTTAGATTGTTCAAATACATAAGTAATGCACATAGGCAGTGTTTTGAAATACAGTAAAAATTCTCACTACACCAGTTTAATTAATTGTATAAGGAAAAAATATAGAGGGTGGTGGCCATTTGGAATACTATTAACAGCACGAAGAAATGGGCTATCCACTTAATCAGTGAAGCCACAGTGTGTCTGCATAAAAACAAAAGTTATTCATTGTGACTGTTGCCCCACTCCAATGATTATCAGGCAATGAACTAAAAAAGATGTATATTTCATCTCCACAGGACTGTCTATGAACCCTTGATTCTTTGATGTAACAAATGAAACCTGCCTGCTATTTCACAAGCACAAAACGACACTGTAGATATCTGACAACATCTCTGTTTGCAGGAGCGGTAACCAGCCCTAGATGAAGTGCAGACAGCTTATTAAACAATGCACAGCATGAATCCTGAGGCCATCACTGATGATCTTTAGAACATTAGCACTGTCCAAGACAAACACACTTTCAACTTCTCAAGTGTTTTAAAGCAGAAGGGTATGAATGTGGAAATTTAGATAGACTGCTTGATTTTTTAAAAGCAAACCATGATACACAAGGCAAATCAAGCTATTTTAAACAGAGTTCAATATAACACATTGCTTTTCCGGATGTAATTCATTTTCATTTTGTATCTTAATGGGTGGGCAGCCATACAGAATGAGAGTACAATTTCAAAACAGGAATCAATGTAGGTAATGGCTTTTGGTAAACTAAATTTGTAATATTATTTTTTATTAAGCAAACCATGATACACAAGGCAAATCAAGCTATTTTAAACAGAGTTCAATATAACACATTGCTTTTCCGGATGTAATTCATTTTCATTTTGTATCTTAATGGGTGGGCAGCCATACAGAATGAGAGTACAATTTCAAAACAGGAATCAATGTAGGTAATGGCTTTTGGTAAACTAAATTTGTAATATTATTTTTTATTATTAANTTATTTAATCATTACTTTTATGTTTTAATCCATGACATTTTTAGACTTCAGCAAAAAACCACTTTCTACAATTTATTTTTGCAATATACACACTACCATCAATGTTGGTTCCATAGACCAGAATACTTCAATGGAAAACTGAATATTACTATTTCCCATGGCTGCATTTTATGTGTCAGTAGCAATATGGCACTGACATAATAATGGTACTGCAGAACATATGTAAGGACTTTTTTGTAGGAAATTAGGTTTCACAATGTCTGCATCATCATCATCATAGGAGGATGATTCGACTGTTCATATTACAAAATCTAAAATGTAATCATTTAAATGCAGTATCACACATAGCTAGTTCTAGAACCAAAGTACTCATTCTACTCCTAAGTAGACAGAATAGCTGTTCTATTTTTCTTATTAATATTCTAAGAATTCTGTTTCAGTGGCAAATTTAGGTTCTTCAAAGGTCTTTCACCAATCACAGCTTCACTGAAGTCAACATGAGAAAGCACAGACTTGTTATAAGTCAATAGTGTTAGCTTTAACTCAGTGGTGTTCTATGGATCAGATATAAAATTTGTATATGCCTGAAAAAACTGCTGGAGAGTAAATTTATAGAAAGGTCATCCTGAACTACATAGTGTTTTTAATTTTATCAAGTAGTTAAAATCTCTTGAGAAAAAAAAGGTTGAAAGAAAGAACATAAGCCAAACTAAGGACAGTTGGGCACAATATGCTTGAAATCCTACGTATGAGAGGATTAAGGAATCATACTGGTAAGGTTATAGTTCACCAGATCCATTTGTAATGCTGTGTCAGAAAGGATAATGCGATCATAGAATGCATGAAGAAGGAAATAATTTATGTGTGCATACCAACAATTGTGTGTGTGACATGAGTTAGATTACTATAAGAATGCAAGAGAGCAAACAGTGCAGTAAGATATGATCCATATTTGACCAAAAGATACTGTGCAAAGCAGTAATGGGCTTGGATATAAAAGTGTAAAAACTGCTGGAACTAAAATCTAATTTACTAAATCCATTTTTTTATGAAAAGGAAGGCAAAGGGAACTTTTAACTGTGTAAGCTATTTCATGGAAGAAGAATGCTAGAAGTTAGTTAACACAAGATATTCATGTGTAAAAGTCAGTTATGAAAGACCATTTCATTACTGTTGATTTGTAATCCTCAATAGCAAAAAGCACTATAAAAATACTATTATATGTAACCACAAGCTCACTGACCATGGTATTGAATGGAAGAATTTATCTGTTGTACTGGATTATCTCATGGTATAAACTCATGTTAATCAACTTGCATGAGTTCAGGAGGAATTATGTTGCACAGTACCGTAGCCTTGATTCCCAACAGTGAATGATAAACATGAGAGGACATCATATGTGTCCTGTGGGTTATGCTACTGATATTTAATGTAAACAGCAATGACTTTCAAGCCTGTGACTGTGCTGCAAATGTAGACCACAAGGTTCTACAACTGGAGTACAGCACAAGGTGAAGTCCAAAAAGTAAATTTTTCTTCCCATGAATTTTATAAGATGGGTTTAAACAAGCAGATTCACAACAAATGCCAATACTGTATGATGTTAAACATAATCACAAATACTTCAGCAAACTTACCTGTACCCCTGCAAAACTAAAATAAAACAAAAACAAAATATAATATCCCTAAAGTATCAAACCTGAGTAAAAAATAAGGAAGAACAAAAAGTAGTTACAGAATTTTACAGTGCTGGTTGCTAAGTAATGTGGACAAGGTATTAAAAATGAAACTTTATATACAAATAAAATGGCTCTATTTTAAAAATGATATATAATTCCAATAGGTACCAATCAAGGTCCAGTGCTCTTTGCCAGAACAAATATTTACCTCAAATTCAGCATGCCTGTGGATATCTTCAGCTCTTTGTCTGCTTAAGATAAATTCCGCTTCATTTGCTACTCTCACCAGATGATCCTTCATTGTTTGACTCAACAATCTGCAAACAAAAGGTAATCAGGACAAATCAGTAGATACAGATATGAAAAAATAAAAGTTGTCAAGCATTTTCAGATGAAGCACACTGATGCCCAGATATAGTAACGTGATCCAGGAAAAGAAGTTTACACAGGTGCAAGTCACTCTTCCACTCAGAGATCCCACATTTCACTGATTTATATACATTAACTAACAGGAAGAGTAGCTACTTCCATTGTAATGAACTGTGAGAATCAAACAATTTTTTTCTTAGACTGAAATAGGCATGATTCTTTGCACCAAGCACAATTTGGAGTGTAACCAAATAGTAAAGGTAAAGGTTCCCCTTGAATGTAACCAAATAGTAAAGGTAAAGTTTCCCCCTTACATTTAGTCCAGTTGTGTCCAACTCTAGGGCACGGTCCTCCTCCCCGTCTCCAAGCCATGGAGCCAGACAGTTTCCATGGTCGTGTGGCCAGCGTGACTAGACACGGAACACCGTTACCTTCCCACCGTGGTGGTACCTATTTATCTACTTGCATTTGCATGCTTTGGAACTGCTAGGTTGGCAGGAGCTGGGACAAGGAATGGGAGCTCACTCCATTGTGTGGATTCGATCTTACAACTGCTGGTCTTCTGACCTTGCAGCACAGAAGCTTCCGCACTTTAACCCGCAGTGCCACCATGTCCCTCCAAATACTATATGCATTATAATTATTCACCCATGCCAAATGAATTCAGCAGTATTTTCTTATTCTCCTTCAAGAAGATGGAGATCTTCATGGCTATAGTGATTTTGGATGCAGTGCCTCTGAGCCATCATATTGTACTATATCTAAACCAGTTTCCCAGGTTTTTCAAAAAATAAACTCTTCCTCCTGAATTTCTTTCCCATTTCTTTCACTTTGAATATCCAACTGTAACAATCTGTAACAGCTGTAATAATTTTGATGTTTCATTATATGGCAAAATATTCTAGATTTCATGAGTTTTATGATTACTTGTTCTTTAATTATTTGTCTTAGTACTCATTGGTCACTCCTTAGTCCAGGAAACAGTGTTCTGCAATTCAAATGCTCATATCTTTTTCACAATTGCCTTTGTTAAAGTCAATTACCCTATGCCATACAGAAGAAACAATGCATAGCTATATGCACTATACATTCCGAAAGCAAATTTTCAGTTTTTCTTGCATATTACATTCTTAGGCTATCCCAGACATCTTTTTTGTCATTTTTTTATTTTATGTTTTCACTGTTCATTCAGTCAAACTCCAAGGGTCTTACTTAAATTTGTCAATATGCTTTATACTTTTGCTTTGGAGCTTCAATTGCATTTCTTGGCTTGCTTTTTATGGATTACCATGAGTTTGGTTTTCTTAGCATTCATTTTCAAACAGAATTCATTTCTTATTCTATTGACTTTAATGAGTAACCTAAGCAAACTATTTAAAAATGTCAGTAATACTGTGTAGTGTATACTACTGATAACTTCTCCCTTGACAATAAGGCTATAATTTAAATCAGCAAATACTTTTAAAATAATGTTCTTAGACTACAAATCAAAAAGCAGTGACAAAAGTATACATATATCTTAGCAATCTTCATATCTCTATGCCATCTGTCACCTGTCCATCAAGTTTCACTGTAGCTTTTAATGCCATTACTGATTGCCAATTATATAAATATCTCTTAAATTGTGATAATCTCCTAATATCTCTTTAATAATAACACTATCGCTATGTTTCACTAAGTAGTCAATAAAGCAAGCATACATATCCATGTTCCAGAGGAGGTAACACATTAGTTGCTATTATTTTTACTGCTATTCATTACTCTAATAGCATTACTTTTTAACAGCAACAGAATTATCTGTTGAAAGATTACTTTTTAGTGTAATGGGTAATGCCATTGGCTATTATTTTTAACCATTGGAAGTGTGCTTTATCATTGTTATTCACTGCATTATCATTATGTATTCTGCTGCAATAATCCAACTGTGTCAGCTCATTGACTCTATCTAATCTAAGAGGCAGAAGATACAATAAATTCATGTTTATTTTCTCCTGCATTACAAAAACTATTTTCAAGGTGCTATGCTGGGAGTATATGTGTATACTCCCATATGTGTTGCAGCCAGTGTGGTGCACTACTTCTGCAACTGAACAAGCCACAAAGAAATTATCCCATCTGTCCATACATTAATGGGTAGCGCAGTAAGTTTTTTTAAAAATAAAATTCTAAGCTCTGCTATGTTTGTGTCAGAGTATTTTAAATACATACAAGCAAAATAGCTGGTTTTTCTGCCATGCATTATTTTCAAAAAACTATAATCAAACAGCTCATCAAGCATACTGTTCTTTAATCACTGGCATTTTCTTTTTGAAGTAATATAACAAAGGTTGATATCCACAGTTTACCAATGATTCCTGTTCTGTAAATTCTGACTGAAAGGATTCACTCACTTTAATAGTTTTTTTCAAGATTAATAGTTCTGCAGAAACTGAATCTAGGAATTTAGTGGGATTTTTTTCCAGATTAAATCTATAGGTAAAGGTAAAGGTTCCCCTTGACATTTAGTCCAGTTGTGTCTGACTCTAGGGTGCGGTGCTCATCCCCATTTCCAAGTCATAGAGCTAGCGTTTGTCTGAAGACAGTTTCCGTGGCCACGTGGCCAGTGCGACTAGACATGGAACGCCATTATCTTCCCACCATGGTGATATCTATTTATCTACTCGCATTTACATGCTTTTTATCTGCTAAGTTGGCAGGAGCTGGGACAAGCAGCAGGAACTCACTCCGTCACATGGATTCAATCTTGCGAATGCTGGTCTTTTGACCTTGCCGCAGAGAGGCTTCTGCGGTTTAACCCGCAGCACCACCGTGTCCCTTGATTAAATCTATATTTCTGGTCTAATATTGACATTTGGTAAATAAATTGTTAGTCTGTTATCTGCAGACAGCTATTTAATATTCCCACACTATGATTTTGTTTAGTATCAAGTTTAGATAATTATTACTATCCCTCAGTAGGGGGTATTGTTTTTTCAAAAGACACCTAGAGAGCTTGTGGTCAGAATCCAATTAACAGAAAGGTCCCACTTACAGATGACATAAAGTGGCAGTTAATTAATAAACTTAGCAAAAAGAAAACAAAATGAAGCAATGTGCACTTATTATAGGCGAAAAGAATAAAACAAATGGATGGGGTTTAAGAAATCATAGCAGTGGAAGTGCCAATGCTTAGTCTCCATCGTAAGCAGCTACAGCGTTTTCTCCCTTTTCTGAACGTGCTAGTAGGGAAAATACTGTAGAGAATTTAGAGCATTGGAAATAATAATATTCAGACTTCTAATTTGAAATCCTTGGGATGTCTCTAATCCAGAAAAAGCAAAAAAACACACCTATTTTAATACAGTGGTGCCCCACTTGACGATTACCTTCTTAGACAAGGAAATTGCTTAACGATGAGCATTTTGCGATCGCAACATGACAATCAAAACAGCTGATCATTGGGTTTCAAAATGGCCATCTGCTGTTTCAAAATGGCTCCCCGCTGTGTTTAGGAAGGCTTTTTCGCTTTACAGGCACCAGAAAATGGCCGCCCTATGGAGGCTCTTCGCTGGACGATGAGGTATTTCGCCCATTGGAACGCACTGAACCGGTTTTCAATGCATTTCAATGGGTTTTTTACTTTCGCTTGACGACGATTTCGTTCTACAGCGATTTTGCTGGAATGGATTATCCTCGTCAAGCGAGGCAACACTACAGTGCTATGCATTAGACTAAATTATTATTCCCTCCAATGAACAATGTATTGGATATATTCGATTTAATTGCTATTTTACATCAGAATTTTGCATATATTCCTGAGCACCCAGTAGGTCAATACGTTATTTATAAATATGTGAAACTAATCTTAACAATAGGGACATGGTGGTGCTGCGGATTAAACCGCAGAAGCCTCTGTGCTACAAGGTCAGAAGACCAGCAGTCGTAAGATTGAATCCATGTGACCACGGAAAACTGTCTTCGGAAAAACACTGGCACTATGGCTTGGAAATGGGGATGAGCGCTGTGCCCTAGAGTCATACATGACTGGACTAAATGTCAAGGGGAATCTGTACCTTTACCTAATCTTAACAAAATTCTGTACACAACATGCAACACTAATATACAATTTTTAAATGTTTACACCAGGAATACTAAAATTCTGTTATAGATAAAATTACTTAATCTTACACTGTACATTACTAAGTTTCAGGGCTATTAATTACACATTTTAATTTGCAATTACTGCCTTCGGAGAGATAGTATAAAAATATTTTAAATAAACAATAAAGCAGGTAATGATTTACTACAATGGATCTAGTCCAAATGCTAACCCATTGAAGAAGCAAGGCTAAACTACATTTAACCAAAAAAAAAGAAAAGAAAAGAAAAAGAAGCATTTTGTCCAAATGTTTAGCAACATGAAAGGGAGATAACTGTCTCCTTGGAGGCATTATTCCTCTGCACTTGCTTATATTAGCTGCTAACCTCTGCAACATGACTTCACAATATAGCAATTCTAATTTTTTTAACAGATGAGATTTTTGCTTTACCTTGTAGAAAACATTTGTAAAACCAAGGGGGGTTAATATCTTTCAACCTTATATGTATATAGAAACTGCACGACAATATGTAACTGGCTATGTCTTGTATTTTACTATTTCCAGAGATTAATTTGAACCATAGTTTGGCCATGGAATTTGTGCAGAGTACTTAATCTCAGACATCTAAAATTAGGGACAAAAAACCTCATAGTTCATAGAGTTTAGCTTACTGTTTCAATCTAAGCATTAGAACTCTAATTTTAGAAATTCTGTCTAGGCATACTCTGCAACCCCCTTCTTCATGGATTGCTGCCTTCGACCTGTTACCTCTTAACTCCATACTGTAGCTTCTTAATGTACTTTTAAGTTAAAAATACCACTAAACAAACACAATTGCTCAAGCAGTATTTTGTTAACACACATTACAAAAAGCTTATAAGGTGTAAAATGCTTTCAGCAATGACAGAACATTTATTCTTTTAATGTACACCATGATCACATTATCCTTTTAGCATGCCTCTGTAGTGTAGCAATATACTCTTATCTGTTAATTTCTTAACTTGAGTACTGAAAACTTGAGAAGATATTGTCCCCAATATTGCTACTATCTACTGTCACATCTGTTCCCACCTAGTTAATTTTTAATAACAGTTCAATTTAAAAAGAAAACTAGAATTAAGGTTGAAAAATCTTTAAACGATTTACCATTTTTAATGTGATCCAGAAAAGTAGATTTAAACTAGAAGGAACTTTTTTTTTGTCATGAGCAGGTAACAATGGCAAACTATAGGGCTTTACTTTTGAAAAGCAATTTGAGGAAGAAAGCTAGAGTTTACAACTGATATAAGATTACCGCAATATTAATCGGTACAGATGGAGGGCAGTACATAAGTTCTGATCCTGTAGAGACTACTTTGGCTTAAATGCAGTTTAATTTTCATGGTGTGATCAGGTAGGGATGAGGCTGCAACCTCTGGTAAAACATGGTTCGGATGGGTTTCTAGCCCTCTGAAGCAGGTTTTGCCATCACTTACAATGGATTTCTCTTCGAAGTAATCATGGACAATGAAGGCCACATTTTATACAATTCTGTCACAGCAACTTATTGAGAGCAATTACATCACTTCTTTAAGGTGAGCACATGCTTTATTTGTTTTGTGTAATTAGCTTTACTACTTAGTGGGATATTATCATTACTGGGTGTTGCTTTTACTCCATATTAGAGTCGGAGTGGGGATAATTCTAACTAATGACACCACATTCACATTTTGTCACTTTCTATAATAGTCATTCTTAGACCCAATGACAGGGGACTGAATTAGATGCACAATGTGTAAAATTTTCTATATGTGTTTAGGTAAACATCTATCTCATTTGATTTATTGATTGATTGATTGACTGATTTGATTTGATTTGACTTGACTTGATTTGTATCCCGCCCATCTGGTCTATGCGACCACTCTGAGCAGCTATCTTAACATTTCTAAAATAGCAGATTAAAGGTAAACATTAAAAATAAAAGTGTGTATTCTTCAAGTTCACAGTTCAGCGCTGACAATTATTTTATATACAGTGGTGCCCCATATAGCGAGGTTAATCCGTTCCGGATTAACCGTCGCTATACGGAATCATCGCTAAACGGGTAGGGGAAATGTATTGGAACGCATTAAACTTCGTTTAATGCGTTCCAATACCTTTGTTACTTACCCGTTCAGTGAGGATTCCAGGTGCCGGCAGCCATTTTCGCACCTTCGCTAAGCGAGGGCAGGGCGCGAAAACGGCTGCCGGCAGCCATTTCCGGGCNNNCCGGGCTTCCGGCGGCCATTTTGGAACCGCCGATCAGCTGTTCGGCGGCTCCAAAATGGCCACCGCAATACCCGATGTTCGCAATGCGGGTTTTCCCCATTGCGAAGATCGGGTATATGTTTCCGTATAGCGATCCCGAAAAAGGGATCGCTATACGGAAACATCGCTATACGGCGCACTCGTTAAGCGATGCACCACTGTACTTGCTTTTCAATGCATTATGTGTAAATCTGTGAAGGACAGTGTTATATTTTACTGAATTCAAAAGACTAAGCAAGTGTGCTTCTTTTAGGCTTCTTCTCGAATAATCTACCTAAATCCCTTTTTAAAAAACAGGCTTTAAACAAATCTGTATATCCAAATATCTATTGATTTCTGCAGCTTTTCTTCTAAAGGCCTAAAACTTTTTTTAATACTTAAAGCAAATTTTGAAAATTTCTCAGTTATCAAAAATCACAATTTTATTTTTGGGCTGTTGATCTGAGATCCTTTGTAATGTGAGACTCATCAGGTGAAACACAGGAACCCAGACTGAATTATGATCAGCCAAGTAGTTAAGAGACCCTAGGTATGCTGAAAAGAGGAGGTGATTGATCCTTCAACCTTATATGTATATAGAAAATACACATAACTACTAAATAACTACACTAACCAAATTGTAAGTTTTATAGGCTGCTGTGCACACACCATCTCATTATGAGTACTTTAAAAAGGGCAAAATTCCAGAAAAGAATAGTGAATGATCCATGATGATTTAAGAGCAGAATCAGGTCTACAGCTTTTGCTATTTAAAAGCATATACAGAATACTATATACGAAAGAAAACATACATTAGCAAATCCAGAATGACTGACTTGCAAGTTCTTCATAAATGAACAACAACGTAATGGTAATAATAGGTAGAGTGAAAGTAGACACTAGAGAGTTACCTTCCTTCATTGACAAGCTCAATGAAAGCTAGGCCTGCATTCTTCTGTATTGAATTCTGCCATTCCTAAAATACAAACATGACAAAACAGATGAAATTGGGAGATTCAAAACACATTTAAAAACCAACTCAAGTTGACTCAATTAAACCAATTAATTAACAGTAAGCTGATTACATTAAAAACAACAGCAAGTAAGAAATATTAAATGTGCTGCTACCGTGTTTCCCCGAAAATAAGACAGGGTCTTATATTAATTTTTGCTCCAAAAAAAAAATTAGGGCTTATTTTCAGGAGATGTTTTATTTATTTTTTCATGTACAACAATCTACATTTATTCAAATACAGTCATGTAATCATTTGGTTGCTGCAGCCAAGAGTGGTCCTGACCCGACCAGATAGGGGGGATATAAATAAAATAAAATAAAATAAAAAATATAACAATAACAACAACAACAACAACAACAACAACAACAACAACGATGATGTTGTTGTTGTTGAAGGGCGGGGTTTCACTTAACTAGGGCTTAATTTTGTGGTAGGGCTTATATTACAAGCATCCTGAAAAATCCTACTAGGGCTTATTTTCAGGTTAGGTCTTATTTTTGGAGAAACAGGGTAATTAATAAAGACACTAACTTTAATTGAGTTCATAAACATAGCTTTAACAAAAGGATGTGCTTTATTGGTAGTATGTGTGTACATACAACCTTTAACTGATCATAAGGTACCTCAGCCAACTCAGCTTATAGGAATGGCCATCCGATAGACAGCTGTGGTTGGACCCATAAATCCTTTCATCATCTCTGCTGTTACCACAGTAACAGTATGAAGTAAGTGAAAGGTATTACCTCCAACAGGATGCTAAGCAGCTGTCATGGCATCTTCTATAGACACTTTCCCCTTTGTTTGTCAACACTTTACATACAGACAACTAACTTTAGAAACATACTTTATTAGGTAATTTTAGATGCGTACTCTACTGGTACAAAGCTTTTGGTTGTTTTCTGCTATCTTAACACTAAATCACATAACAATAAAGCAGTAAATTATAATGTATTTACCGTATTTTTCACACCATAAGACGCACTTTTTTCCCACAAAACAGGGGGGTGGAAAGTTTGTGCATCTTATGGAGCGAAGAAAACAGATTATATTTTCCTGTTTTCTTCTCCTAAAAAATTGGTGCGTCTTATGGAAAGGTGCGTCTTATGGAGCGAAAAATACGGTACATTGCTACATGTTTCAGAATGACATTAATGTCAAAAGCAGCTGTTGAACCCGCCCAAATGCTGTTCTTTCATCATGGCTCTTTACTGGTTTTAGCATTCTTTCACAAAATTGGCAAAGTTAAATGTCTACAAAGATGAATATTTTTTTTCCTAAATGACATGCTTGTGTCTGCAAACAATGGCTTTCACCTTGAATCACACCAGTACTTCAAAACTTAATTACTTAAGATAGAAGTTGCCAAAACTAAAAAGAAAAGAAAAAAAATTATCATGGCTCTATTCAACTGTATTTCATAGACAATTATCAAAGAATAATGGCATTAGTCTAAACAAATTTTTATCAGCCACAAATGAATGTTCCCCTAGGCATACTTTAATAGTCAGGGGAAAGAGAACAGAGAATGTAACAGCCATTGTCTTTCGTGTTTAATTCAATGTTTCAACACTGCACATATACCCTGTACTGCAATTACACTCACAGAGCTGACTGCATTGTTATGTCAAGATCTTAGTTATTCTTCTCCCTAAGGTGCGGATGAAAACATGTTAAAAGCCTCAAAGTCAACCACTAATGCAGCTGAATAACTCCGGGACACATTTCAGCACTTTTCAAAAGCAAGGACTGCAACAAGAGATCGACCAAGTCAATAATTTCATACCTGCTATAAGCTGAACTTAATTGACCACCATTTCCGATGTCTATAAAATGTTTATTGTCTAGAAAGCATACTTCTAATGTACATAGCCATAATGGACTCTGAAATCTATAGCATATCTATAATAAATACTTAAGAACAGGAAGAAAAAAAAACATGTATCTGCTAAGTAGCAGTACACACCAAATCCTAAAACATGCATTTAACTTGAGTAGGGGAGAACTGGAGCAATGGGTGGATAATAAACAGATTTAGACCTGGAGAATGTGTTCTCCAACTCAGGATCCTTGAGGTTAATTCCAGGAATCCAGAGTTGAAAGCTGTAAAAAGACAGACAGCAGAAAGTACTGATCACTTGATAGAGACAGGTAGAAGGTTGTGAATCTGCTATTTATACCAGGCCTGTTCTATCCAGAGACATAATATTTCCTGACAATTGCACAACTCAACGCTGCACTCATCTGTTATTTTTGGCTGAAGTAGGCTGAACGTTTAGACATAAAATCATATAATTTTTACAAATTAGAAGGGATCTCAAAAGTAATCCAGTCCAACCACTTGCTATGCAAGTGACGAAATCTTGTAATTATGATACCCCTGAAAGAAGGTCATTCATATCCTACTTTGCAGAAAAAGAGAATACATCACTGCCATCAGTACAGTACTTGTAACTTTAACCTCTTGAAAAATTTCCAGCAACAGGATGCCAGGCACTCATTATGCTAGGTCCCAGCTATAAAGCCCTTGCCAACTGTTGTGACATTACATCCTTGATCAACATCACTTGCATTTCTCAGTTAGAAATAATCCTAAAATAAATCAAGATATATTTATGAGATTTACACCATACCTTTCAACTAGATTCAGCTAATTATCTGGGGCTGTATGAATTTGAGGTACTACATTTCTTCAATCTAGGCTTGAGCCATCCACAGGCATTGTATTCTGTGGAGGTAGTCAGTATCACAACCTTGTACAGGCAAATAAATATACTGTATACTGTTGGTGTCCAGCAGATTCCCTTTTCTCCCCCTCATCAGAGAAGAAGCTTCTCCCAGTTGTGCTTCAGACTACAATATGTTCACTTCCAAATCCAGATTTTCAAGCTCTACCAAGAGATCTTAGGTAACCAGTGTGAAGAATACCTCCCTCAATCTGTAATTCGGATAAAAGGTATCTGGTATCCCAATCCAACCCCAACCCATAAAATACTCCTCCGTTTGCCCTTAATTATGCATTTTGGAAGTGATCTGAGGTAGAAAAGCTATTAAACCAGTGTTAAGGCACGAATAGACAAAGTATAAAGATCTGGAGGTCATTTCAGCCTTTCCAAGTCCTTGAACAACTGCACACTATACCTGCCATCTCTGTCTCTGAAAGGTTTTTGCCACATGTATGCTCTAAGGCAGTGTGTATGTGTATGTATGACAAACAGACCCTTTGGGAGAGAAAGAAGCCTGTATTTTCTGAGAAGGAATGACTTTATCCCATTGAAAATGCATTTTTCTGCAAACATGGCGGGGGCGGGGTCACAGGTTACTTGACTATTATAAAAGAAAGTCACCACTCCAAAATGTTGGGAACTGCAATTTGCCATGTAAATACATCACCAGGCCGTTTTAGCCCTTAATAGAACTTGCTTAGAAAACAGGCCAGCTTTAATAATAATCATGGGCCATCAAGTTAATTGTGACTCATGGCGACCTTTTTCAGAATTTTCCAGGTGGAGAATACTCAAAGTGGTTTACCATTACCATCTGGGGATGCCCTTGGACTGGAAAACTTGCCCAAGGCCACACAGGCTAGCTCTATTTTCAGGAGAAACCTTGGGAATCAACTCTCAACCCTAGCTCCACAGCCAGATACCTAAACCACTGAGCTATCCAGGTGGTGAATTTCACTCCCTAACTGGCATTGTATGCAATTTTCCCCCCACTGGGTTCTGGGGAGGCCTATGGATTCAACATTGGAGAACATGAAACCCATAGGCTCCACTGTGCCTAATGGTGGTTTAGAAGAAAGTTTCACCTTCAAACAGTATGTTAACTTCTTAAAATTTAACTCTACATGAGAGCTGAATCTTTGAAGTCCCTCCTCCCACATTACATTTGAGCACTACTTTACACAAGGATTTGAGGAATCAATGTAGACGCTTTTTATACTGATAATAAATTTATAAGGCAATCAATTAAAATAAATGTTGAACTGGTATGACAATCTACACATGTTACTCTGAGGAAACAAGCACGGAGCTGCGTTTAGTCAACGCACATTCTCGCCCTGATCTATAGAAATTTTATTTCAAAACAAAGGTGATAAAAAGTTGCTCAGACTTTTCCTATCTACAAGTTTGCAACAGATGATCATCATTAAGCTCCTATCAAGCTTTTACACACTGAGTTGTACAAATGTGTTCTATTAGTACATGGCCTGACTATTTGGCAACTTCAGTTCTCAAGACAAATGGCAGCTACTGCCCTCTGAGGTCTGAAGTCAAGTCTTTTGGGAATCTCAAAGCCCAAATGAAAAGAGAGAGAGAGAGAGAGAGAGAGAGAGAGAGAAAGGCCTGTTCATTAGAGTCTGCTCCAGGCTAAAACTTTCAAGGCTGCCATTAGTACTATATAAGAGCTAATTATTTTTATAAGACTTTAAAACTACAGAACATGTCCAGATGTAAGCAGTATGAATTACATTGCTGTTACATTTACATGCCTATTGCTTTTTTCCTTTGGTTTAGTCAAAATGCTCTCGTTAACATAACGGGAACCCAACTTTTCTGTTAACATTTTACTACTAATATCAAAGCATTAACATTTTTACCAATACCAAAAAAAAGCTCTGTTATGTTGCACTTTACTTGAAACAGAAGTGATAATACATACACGTGCATATGCACGCATGACGACATGTATGCTTACTGGAGATAGAGAGCAGTGTTGTTTGATCAATATATATGGGAAAATAGTGTGAGGATTAGGAGTAATACTGGTTTTAAAAAAAAGACATGGACATCCTGGGTATATTCATCCCTGCCTAATGACAAAGCAAGTAAAGAAATACTGAAAATGGTACTAAGAAACAATTCACTGCAGAGGACTGTGTAGTGGTAATAGATAAATCCATTCATTCTAAACCAAAATGAGGCTTTAATCCAAATTATTGATCAGTAACCAGTTATTT